ATGGAACTCAACCCACACCCTCCTAAGACAGTGGCTGAAAGTCAGAAATGAGGCACTTCTCTCCCTCACAATGCTAACCCACATCAAGTCAAGTGTTTAGATAAAGACGATTAACAAGAAAAGTGGAAGTTTGAGAGGTTTGCAAGCAATGGTGGCCAAGGAAGGAGGTGGCAGCAGCTGAGCACCAACAACTCATGTAAGAGGCACCAGAAATGACCTAGGATCATGTGCCATTAAGCATTTATAGTTGTTTAGGTTTTAAGCACACTGTATTAGCACTAATAGCTACGCTTATCATTTTAATCCCAAACTTTGGGTTCTAAACTTAGCCATTTTTCTAAGATTTTTTATATTTTTATTTTATTTTTAGCAGCATTTTACCGGTACGCGCTTTTACGTAGCTGGTATCAGTTCTGACGCCAGTTCTCATTATTTTGACCTGAAACTTGACATACTAGTCCTAAATATTATTCTAGGAATATTCCCATACTTATTATAATTTTTCAGAATACTTCATCGGTACGCACTTATACCGTGAGGCAGAACCGGTATCTGCACTTTTCGTCAGAAAAACGACTTTCAACGTTATTAAGCCTTTATATTAGTTATTCTTACCTTACCATAATTATTTAAGGTCAATTATGCAATTAAGCTCATAATTGAATATATTGATATTATGACTATAGAAGGTTTAATTACGTTTAAAAATGACAAAAGCTGCCATGATCTTATATTGATGTAGGAGATGGATCAAGTTGTACCTAAAATAGAATTTAAGGATAAATAACATACAATTGTGTGATTAAGGAATATATGATATAATTATTTCAGGATCATATGTAGCCTAAGTGGGAGATTTTTTTTAAAAAAAATATTTCCTAACGTAATTGTGGGCAACATTTTATTATCAATTATACCATGTTATTTAATTTATTGGGCAAATTAAGGAGCCCAATAAAATTTCTAATGAGTATGAGTTAAATAAGTGGACAATATTAGGTATAAAAGGAGCCTAATGAGACAATAATAAATAAAAATATGATAGAATTTTGGTCTTTGATATGTCAAATCATACAAATGTCTCTCTGTTCCCCCACCTAGAGAGAACACTAACTCAGGAATCAAACGATATAATTAAGATCTGTAATTCATTTTTAATTATATACGCACACATGCATGTATTATGTACTTCCAAGAGTACATAGTTAAAAAATGGTTTACAACATGATTTTCTATTTTCGTGTAATATATATAGAAAAAAGTGTGTATCATTTTAAAGGATGTAAAGTTATGTCATTTTAAGTGAGAGAAAGAAATAAATAAAGGGGGAGGGAGAGTGGACAAAAAAAATGTGTGGGTCCCACCTCTTTGTGAGAGTGAAATGACATAAGTTGTGTCATTGAAAAGGACAAACATTTTTTCCATATATATATATATGGAAAAAAATTTCTGCAGTCACTTTAGATAATGTTGTCTACAGCTACCCTATTTTAACTAAGTATGACCGGTCATACATTAAAATTGTATTTTCTCTCTCCGTCACGTCAGCCGACAATGTCTGAGGAAAGGGAAAAAAAGAACAGCTTTATTGTTATAACTAAGTATGACCGGTCATACTTAGTTAAAAAAGGATAGCTGTAGATAACCTTATCTAAAGTGGCTGTAGAAATACTTTTTTCATATATATATATATATATATATATATGTGTTTCTTCATTTTCTTTATGTTATTAATTTGGTGATGCAGATATAGGCTTTTTGGATGATAGATTTCACAATGGATAAAATCCCAACATGATGTACTTACAAAGACAATTTGATAAACTCTAGCAAAAAAAAAACAAATGACATTCCAATACTTAAGTTGGGCAAAACACAAGAATATATATAAAATATGAGGGAGATATTCTTACCACCAAAATTTTCCACTATCAACTTATTACTTATCTAATCACCCTTGGATCAGAGAGAGGGAATGCTGAAAAATTTCTGAAGAGAGAGAAAATGTTGATCCAATGGTAATGAAATAGGTAGTGAGTTGGTAGTGAAATTTTTTGATAATATGAATATCCCCCTAATAAAATATTAGAATCTGAAAGCGGGTTTGACCCGGCGAGTAGATCAACCCTTCCTAGGTGGGTTATGTTTTATAACCCATTTAACCTGCCCCGCCATGGACGGGTTGACCCGTATGACCGTATTTTTTTAGGCTTAATGTTTCTACAGTTTTCAATCCCAAAATGACATCATTTTGAAATGAAAGATTAAAAAATTATAATGAGAAAAATTATTATAACCCTGAAATAAATTAGAGAAAACTTCAAAAAAAACCCCTGAAAATTTAGTCAAAATCACTTACCCCCCTCCCCAAAATTTTTAATCATTTACACCCTTACTTAAAACTTTTTTATCACTTACCCCCCTAACTTGATTTTCCATCCAAAGTTAAAGTTAACGAAGTTAGTCTTTTAATAAAATACCAAAACTACCCTTAAAAAAAGGAATTAACCCCTTGACACCTTTTTGTTATCTTGTAATTTTTTTTCAGCCCCACTATATGTTTCACCTTTCGTTTGTCAAAGATGAACCAATTTTTACTGCTTCCATATATTAATTAAAGACCAAAGGTGTAAATATTTTCAGCAAGTAAAAAAAATGGACAGCAAAAAAATCAATTAAAGGACCAATTTCATTAACTATTATCCATAAGATAACATGTTTGGACAGCAAAAAAAAATGGGTTTCCGAAAAATATGGAAAAACAACAAGCTTAAAAAAAATCTCCTTTCAAGCATATTAATCTTAAAAAAAAAAAAAAACTGGACAACAACCTACAAAAAAATACATCATAGTCATCCATTGCAACCTGCAAAAAATGAGTCAATAGTTCAAAAAAAAAATACAACCAAATATGTTACATATATATATATATATGATTCAAGAACTCGCAAATTCTCGCAAATGGCAAAACTCGCTGATTGAAGAATTCACAAATTCTCACAAATGGCAGAACTCGTTGATTGAAGAATTCGCAAATGGTATAGAATATCCAGTGCTGTTATTTTTTTTAAGGGTAATTTTGGTATTTTTTAAAAAGACTAACTCCGTTAATTTTAACTTTAACTTTGGATGGAAAATCAAGTTGGGGGTAAGTGATAAAAAAATTTTAAGTAGGGATGTAAATGATTAAAATTTTTGGGGAGGGAGTAAGTGATTCTCACTAAATTTTCAGGAAGTTTTCCCAATAAATTATAATTACAAAAGTACCTTGATTTATACCTGAAAACAACATCGTTTTGAGTTCAATATAGATAGATATATTGACCGTAGAAAAAATGAATTTTTTTTTAACACATAAACTTTTACTTTACTCATAAACTTTGTGTTTGGTCATAGTTTAATATATGTTATCCTAATATTGACTTATGGATGCTGAATATTTGTAATGGTGATTTATTAATATCCAATCCATTTTTAAAAAAAAATTATCATTAATGTAGCTATCCTTGATATCTTCTTCGAGTCTACTACTCCTTGATTACGGAGCAGTTTAATTCATTTTTTATTCGGATTAACAGCGGGACGGGACATGGCAAATTACCCACCTATCACAGTGATTAATTTATCATACGAATCTTTCTAGATTATGTGCATGCTATGATAAACAAGAGATCTGCGATCCAAAGATTACTTGAGACCTTTGCCGCAGGGGCTTGAATATGAGTAGATGACGGGTTGTTGGGCTTGAATATGACACTCTAGACAAAAATAAACAAATTAATGTATTTGTAACAATTTAAACAATGGTATTAAAAGTCAAAAAAAAGAAGAAGCTAATTGATGAAAAATCTTCATTATAATGTGCTACATGCTCCAGTGATATTGCATTATTGCTTAACATGGGAGAGAATCATCAAATAGTGTTCACAAAACAAATTTATAATTAAGTAGATATTTAGTAACCGTGTAATATAAAAAAATAATTATTTTTTAAATTTCCTTAAAAAGTTATTATTTTTTAACATAAAACAACTTATTTATAATAATTATTTTTCTGACAGTGTGAGGGATGGGATCTACAGTGAGAATATGTAATACAAATATCTAATATATTCTGTGTAGCAAACATCTTACCCAGAGAGCACCGACAGACACAGAAGGAGAGCTTTTCAATTTTTGGGGTTTAGTTTGGCCCCACGCAGTTAGCTGTCTTTCTTTCACATGCTCCTTCTCTGTCGGTGTCATTTATTTTTCCCATACTATCCCTACATAGAATAATTTGAATGAAAGTTTCCAAATTTAGTTGGTACACCACCATGATAACTGTTTTATGTCTTGACAGTCAATTAGATATAACTAGCTGGCATTTGAAAACCTCAAAGTAATAAAGTGTATCCGAATATCTACAATAACGTAAAATCAAAATGACTTATTTCTAACGTGGTGTGATTAAATAAAATATAATCTTTTTTGATTTACTTTTTAATTCATTGATTATTTGATTAAGAAGAAGACAAAAAAATTATTTATTGATTGATTGATTATTCGACTAATTCAATTTAAGACAAATGTATCAAGATAACAACAAAGCTCTCCAATCAAAACAAAAAATAATATCTACGTACCCATAAAACAGAATCAATTGTTATTTTCTATAACCGCTTAAATTTCGTTAATATGATACGAAATGCTTTGTATTCAATATTGATATTTGGTTTGAAAACTTTAACAATGTCACAGACAAGGGTATTATTGATATTTGGTTCAGAATGTCTGCGTCAGATCTTCCCAACAGTAGTTTGTTTACAATTACATAATAAAGACAGTGAGTGATTCATGGAGTTTCATTAGAGTCTCTGTTTAACTCAAAACCAAAACTATTTGCTTTGTTATGGGAATAAAGAGCTGAGAGGTCTATATACCTTTGTTTGCTCTCTCTTCCTTTTTGGTGCAGATCTTGAAGTTGAGTTACATTGTCAAAGAAAACCTGCACCGAAAAAATGGAGTGTATATGGTTCTCTAACGTTGTATCTGTTGTCCCTCGTGGTGGCTTTGTAGTTTTACTCCTTTTACTACTCTCTTGCTCCACATTCACTTCTACAGGTATTGGATGTTGTTGGCTCTCATTTGTTTCTTGTTGTTCATGGAACTCAAATTTTGTTCTTGAAAGTACTTTCTAACTATGCTTTCTGGGTTCTACTTCTACTACTTCCCTGAATTAGTGAGTTCCCATTTTTTATTTTCTCAACAAGTCTGGCTCTTTTAGTAGAACTATGATGAAGGAGGTTGAAGGGCAATTGCATTTTCCAGATTTGAATGGATGGATAGATTGTTACTGTTTCCTACAATCTCTTATACTTGTAGCATATTGGTGTCTACCAATTGTCTTTGTAGAATTATAGATACAGTTACATCCATTGTGGATATCATAACTAATTTAGATAAGTTAACATTTTTAGTGATTATATGGATGTCATGATAAAGATCTCTCTTTAACATCTTTAAAATGAAGAGGGAAAAATGAAAAAAGTGTAGGCTCCTTAATGTTACTCGTGGATACTTAGTTTTTTTTTTCGATCTGCTAATCATCACTTGAGAAACAACTGAGTGATATATTACTGTTTCTGTTTTGTTCAAATTTTTGCTTTAAAGACTGAGAATTTAAAATTCATTACATTTTCCTGCTTGTTAATTTACAGAAGCCTATGATGCGCTTGATCCAACTGGCAATATAACAATGAAATGGGATGTCATTAGCTGGACCCCAGATGGCTATGTTGTAAGTCATCAAAACTTTCTTAATGTGATAGTGCTAGGAAAAGCGTTAAGTATTGACTGTATTGTGCCCTGGAAAATTTCATGGAATCAGTAAGAACTATATAAGACAAAACTTCTTTTTAGCTTGATGGATCTTCTCAGTTGTACATACCTTGTTTGAGCAGGACTTAGAAGAAGGTTGTCTTAATATGGTTAATTGGTTATATGCTTTTTAGCATATTGTAAGTTGCCATTACATAGACTAAAACAATGAATAGTTACATATGTCAAAGTATCAACGCCGTTTTTTCAATTTCCTTTAAATTGAAATTCAAATGAAATGTGGCTTTTATCTACTCATGTTGCTTAAACATAATGAACCTTCTTGGTTGGGTTGAGCAGGCTGTTGTTACAATGTTCAACTTTCAACAGTATCGCCATATTCAGGCTCCTGGATGGTCATTACAGTGGACATGGGCTAAAAAGGAAGTGATTTGGAACATGATGGGAGCACAAACCACAGAACAAGGAGATTGCTCAAAGTTCAAAGCAGGAATCCCACATTGTTGTAAGAAGGACCCAACAGTAGTGGATTTACTGCCAGGAACTCCTTACAATCAGCAAATTGCAAATTGTTGCAAAGGGGGAGTCTTAAATTCATGGGCTCAGGATCCAAGCACTGCAGTAAGTTCTTTTCAGATTAGTGTTGGTTCTGCTGGAACAACTAACAAAACTGTCAAACTGCCAAAAAATTTCACACTCAAAGCACCAGGACCTGGTTATACTTGTGGCCCTGCAAAAATTGTGAGACCAACTAAATTTATTACCACTGACAAGAGGAGAACCACCCAAGCCTTGAGTAAGTTAGTTGCTAAATGCATTGATTTTAAAATTTTTTACATATTCATTTGTCTCACTGCTTGTAACCAGAAAGTCATGGGGTTATAAAAATGCAAGGGTAAGGTTGCATCTAATCAACCTTTACCTCTACCATTGCAAGTCAGGGAGCCTTGTGCCCAGGGGTTTGACCTTATTATTTGTCTTTCCTAAACTTTCTTCTAAGATATGTACATATTAGCCTGCATTAAATGAATTTAGATGTCTTACAAAATTGAAGCTCCTTTGAATTTTGGTTATTTTTATAATTGTGGTAGTTCACTCATTCCCATGTTTTTCACTTTCATGTTTCATTTCCAATTTTTCTTGACAGCAGCATTTCCTTTGTTGATGAGATGGATTTAAATTTTCACCAACCAAATAATTATTAGTGATGTACTGTGAAGAATTATTTATGCTTTGTACATTGTTCAGAATAGTTTTGAGTATGAAAACCAAATTTTAGATTCTGTTTAACTTAACCTGCATATTTTGTGGCAGTGACCTGGAATATTACCTGCACTTATTCTCAATTCCTGGCTCAAAAGTCACCAAGTTGTTGTGTTTCCCTCTCTTCCTTCTACAATGAGACAATAGTAAACTGCCCAACCTGCACCTGTGGCTGCCAAAACAAAACAGAACCCAACAGTTGTGTAAAGTAAGTCTCCAATTTATCTTCTTATAGATATGTAAAACTGTGTTTCTTTTGTTCTTGTAGTTCTTCAAAGTAAGTTTCATAGTAACTTTTGTCTTCATTTTCCCCATTCTTATGAATCATTTTTCTGTATTTGTCTTACAGTCCAGATTCCCCACATTTAGCTTCAGTTGTTTCATCGTCAGGCAAGGCTATAAATACACCTCTAGTCCAGTGTACTAGCCATATGTGTCCTATTCGAGTGCATTGGCATGTGAAGCTCAATTATAAAGAGTACTGGAGGATCAAGATCACAATCACAAATTTCAATTACAGAATGAACTACACACAATGGAATCTTGTTGTCCAGCACCCCAATTTTGATAATCTTACCGAGATTTTCAGCTTTTATTACAAGTCACTGACACCCTATGAGGGATTAAGTAAGTTCCACCTTTCATAATCATATTCCTATATGATCTCGTGAAGAAAATTTTCCAATTCTTATCTAATTGTTTTGGGATATGCTTTTGCAGATGATACAGGTATGTTATGGGGAGTCAAATTCTACAATGATTTTCTTTCTTCAGCTGGATCCCTTGGTAATGTGCAGTCAGAACTCTTATTTAAAAAGGACAAATCAACCTTCACTTTTGATAAAGGATGGGCTTTCCCAAGAAGGGTTTATTTCAATGGGGATATGTGTGTTATGCCTCCTCCTGATGCCTACCCTTGGCTGCCAAATGCAAGTTCAAAACTAGTTTTCTCTTTACTTAGTACAGTCATAGCCACTTTAGCTTCTTTGTTAATCTTATTGAATTAATATTAGAGAATTATCTATGTGGAGAGTAAAGATGCTATCTACTCTTTTGGAGTATTGTACCAGACTGTTGAAGATGATGTCTACCCCATTGTCAAGAATGGATAGGAGTTGCAACTGATGCAATAAAGATTGATACAGGTGCATAAATGCTAGCTTGCCACAAGAATTCTGTCCAGCTATTTGCGTTGGGGATTGATTTTTAGCTTTTGTATTGTATTAAGTTAATTGCTTGGATGATTATTTTTTCAATTATAGAATATATCCAATTTATTTCTTAGTGTTGAGATGAAGAATTCAAAAAAAAATAAAAATAAAATCTAGGTAGCACTTCTTTCACTCCTGGAGTCATTTGTTAACCATTTATACTCATTTTGCCATTTTGTCTACCCCAAAACCCAAGCAGATGGCTCTATCGTATATGTAAAAGCACTATGAAAAATATTGTATGAATATAAAAAGAAAAATTAATCTAGAAAGATAAACTTTGCAGTGATGACTTGGGTATATATATTCATAATCAAGATACATGACAACTTATATCAACCTCACATTTATCACAAACTAGTTAGATAGGCAGTCAATAAAAAAAAGGAGAATATTAGTCTCATGTTACACGAGAGTAGTTCTCTCATGTTATAGAGAGAATTCAAGTGGAGCCTACTATTAAAAAGCAAAAAAGAAAAAGAAAAAAGAAGGGGTGCGATTTTCGAAGTGAGAAAAAATGAGATAACTATCTCATGTAAAATAAGAGTAGTACTTCCCATAAAAAAAGCAAACCACTTCTCAATTAAACTGATTAGCGAATTTGGAGTGAGGTCAATCTTTATACGCAGTTTTATCCTTGCAAATAATTGCAAAGGGGCTATTTCTTATATTTGAACCCATAACCTTTCAGTCATAAATGAACAATTTTATCACTGCTTCGGTTCGCCCTATGTTATTGGCGGTCAATAAACTCGAATAAAATAGAAGGAAATGCCAACTTACATATATCATAGATATATATTTTTTTTCTTTATAGTGTTTACAAGAAATTCCTTCTTGCTTATCTCCCAGCTAAATCATCACTCTACATTGTAATCTTCATATATATAATTAAGTAGCCGCACTTATACCTCACAAAAGAGTCACAATCAAATGAAAAAATGATGTGAAAATCACATGGGCTGCCATCAATATAATACTTGTTGGTAATCTACGTGCAGAGTTTGGCAAGAAAGGGTATGAATCAGGGGGTGGCAGCATACATTCATCACCATTGAAGTAAACCCTCCTAGGAAAAGCCCATCCTCGCTTGAGAGTAAATGTGTTCTTGTCCTTCTTCATAAGCACCTCAGATTGGACATTCCCTTTAGGCCCAGCTTCCATCAATAGATCATTGTAATATTTCAAACCATAGAACATGCCTGTGTCATCTGCAAACAAAATTCAGTATGCACATTGTTAAGAAACCTCTTCATGGAGCTCTAATACCCCAAAAAGACTCAAAATATTGTGTGTCCATTTCAAAGAACTCACTTATGGATTCATAGGGAAGAAGTGGAATGTATTCAAAGCTATAGACTTGGGTGACATTATTGAGATTGGGATGTTGTACTACAAGTGTCCATTGTGTGTAATTCATTCGATAGTTGAAGTTGATGATTGCAATCTTCACACGCCAATAATCCTTATAGTTGTCTTTCACATGCCAATGCACCCGGACATGGCACAAATGGTGTGTACATTGTAACAATGGTTTTGGTGTGATATCATGTGTCTTCGTAGTGTTTTTTACATAATCTTGCAGGATCTTTGAGTCGCTCCTGCGCATTCATAATGAGATATCAAAATCAGGGTTAGAAAATCTAGAAAATCTCACAATATTATATCTTGAAATAGTTTTGAGTATTTAAAGGATCTCTTAGGACCAAATACTTGTAGCTCAGTTGGTGTCACTGATTACGAGGAGGTGAATGTTTGATCTTCTCCTCGGTATCGTTGTTTTTTGAGAGGAATTTAAAACCTTAATTCCGGACCCGCCTCGAATTAGACTAGTCGTAAAGTGATGAACCGATTGGAATATCTCAAAAAAAAAAAAAAGGATCTCTTAGGTTTTCTATTTATTTATATTTCATGATTTGTTTCTTTAATTTAAGTCTTCTATTTAGTATAAAGGGGATTTTATATTTTGTCTTTTGCATTATTTCTAATCGCTTCAATCACTTTGTATCACATTAATATAGTAAATTATCGTGTCTTTTTTCTTATTCTCCATCTATATACCTAAACTCTTATAATTTTAACAATTAGCATTTTTTTTTTGGTGAGGTGTCCTCACTTGTTTGGATGATACTAATTCCATTTGTAGCGCAGAACACGAAAAAGTTTTTTCTACTAGCCCCTTAAGTTGCTTTACCTATGAATCACACTAGAGACCTTCTAACACCAGCATTCTGCTCCTTGGGCATATCTCAGCTTACCAGTTGTGCCACCTTTAGGGTTAACAATTAGCATTTCATATTCAATGTAGCACACATAAACGGCTTCATAAACCCACCAATTACATGGAGTAATGAAGACTATAATGTGAAACTAGAAGGGTGGCTTACGTGACACAGGTATCATTGTTCTGACAACCACAAGCACAAGTTGGGCAAGCTGTGACTTGGTCACTGTAGAAAGATGACAAAGAAACACAACAGCTTGGGTTCTTAAAGGCAAGGAACTGTGAATAAGTACATGTCACATTCCAGGACACTGCATAGAAAAAACCATAAAATAGAAAATTAAATAGTGACAATGAATATGTAACCATAACTATTTACACTATTACCATACAAGGAATGAAGGGAATTAATAAGCATACTCAAAGCTTGAGTTTTTCTCCTATGATCATCTGTAGGGATGACAGTGGAAGGAACCATCTTTGCAGGGCCACATGAATATCCTGGTCCTGGTCCTAGCAATTTGAAGTTCTTGGGCAGTTTCACTGTCTTATTAGAGGTGCCAGAGAGCCCCACACCTATTTGAAATGCTGAAACTGCACCATTAGGATCCTGCCCCCAAGATGTTAGAACACCCCCTCTACAGCAATTGTTAAACTGCATGTTGTAAGAAGCTCCAGGTAACAAGTCAACCACTTCAGGGTTCCTCTTGCAGCTATGAGGAATCTTCAACTTGAACTTGGCACAGTTTCCTTGTTCTGTAGCTTGAGCTCCCATCATGGCCCATATAATTTCCTTTTTTGCCCATGTCCATCCTAGAGTCCAACCAGGGTTCATAATATTCCGGTAAAGTTGAAAGTTAAACAATGTCACAGTGGCCTGCCAAAGTTCAATATTATAATAACATATTTATCAGTTTGAGGATAACTTGAGAGCAATCTTTGAGCTAGTTTAGTTCTTTGCATATCACATAAGGACATAAATTTCTGTTTTCTAGAGACCCTTTGATATTCATAACTACATATCATTAAATGGATATTTACTTTTCCTTGAGATATAAAATTAAGAATCCATACAAAATTAGAATAGAATGATGAGAATTTAGAAGTTACCAAATAACCATCTGATGTCCAGGACATGATATCCCATCTTATTGTCACATTCCCAGTTGGATCCAGTGGATCAAATGCCTCTACAAGAACAAGATAAATAAGAATGAAATAAACCATGAGAAACTAAATTATATTCTCACAACTAGTATGCCACGTTTTGCATATAGGCAACAAGTCATTTACCAGCAGGAGAGATTAGAATGAGACATAGAGCAATTAAGGCAACCAACTTCAGCTCTCGAAATGTGCAGCTTTGTTGCTGTTTACCGTAATCAAATTCCATGCCTGAAGATGAAGTTCACAGAATAACAAGTTCTAATGAGGTAACACAATGTGCAAGTGTGCAAAATGTGCTTGTGTGTTTTATAACAATAGGTGCTGCATTGTAATTAGATTGTATAGAGTATGTTATCCCATAGTGGTTGTTAGGTCCTTGTGATATCATCTTCATCTGAAATATTCTGTCTCCATCTATTTTATTTCCCTGCTAAGTTGCATCTAGCTCTCCTTCAATGTCATTTAGGACACATAAGGTGGTAACCAGTTTTCTGTTTCTTCAGTTTTCACTTACTTTTCATTCATGAAACCATTCACTTCAAATTGATGCTTATGCTTTATAGCTTGGGATCTATTTAATTTTGGTTAATTCTCTTAGATGATAATTATTAGCCTTGGAATAGTTCTGTATCTGGATATAGTTTTTGCATTAGGGGGTTATACATCCACATCTATGAATATAATTATGTACATTTACAGGGCAAATAGCTAAATCATCTATTATCACCATGATAAAATATGGCAATCAACCCATGAAATGCCTTAGGGAATATGGTGTAGAGTTACCATCTTGGGTTTGATTGAAAACAAATATAATGTTGTAGTAGTATAATGGTGCAACACATTTAAAAGCACCTGATACATTGAACAAATTCGACGTAGCCAGCTATTGATGGGTCTCTATAAAGTTATTGGGCCTTCTTCTTCAAACCTGTAGATTATTTATATCACCGAATTAAGACACGGTTTTAATTGACCAGAAAGTTTTTTAAAAAAGGGTCACGGCTTTAATTTCTGTTAATAATGAATTCGAAAATAAAAATAAAATTAATATTTATTACAAGTAATTTAATATTTTTTCATTAAAAATGTTTTCCTTACTGTAAACTTTAGTAATATAATATTTTGAATAACTGCGTGGCCTGGCAACTTAAGGAATAAGTTTATGGGAAAAGTGTTGTCATGTTAAAGGATGTAAATTGTGCCATTTTAAAAGAGAGAAAGAGATAGATAAAGGAGAAGAGAGAGATGACAAAAAAATAAAGGTGTGAGTCTCACCTCTTTGTGAGAGTGAAATGATATAAGTTGTATGATGTAAAAGGATAAACATTTTTCCTAGGGGGCGTTTGGTAGAGGAGAAATTTTTTTTTAGTCGGGAATCTCAATTTTCAAAAATATAATTTTTACATTCAATTTATAATAATATCTGTAAATTCAAAATTTAGAAAAATTTAGTTTATCAGGATTCCTCCCGCATACCAAACGCCCCTAAGTTTATTGTGGTCTCGAGCCAAAAAGGGAACGTTGGAATAGGTCCCAACCCAATTTCTTTAAGACAAGTCCAGCCCAAATTGTTCGGGTTGGTCCAATTTTACGAGCCAGTTTAGGTCTCAGTGGCCTTGTGTAAATAAAAATGCATGTTTATTAGAGTTTTACAGATAAAATTAAGCGTTTGCTTTTTTTGCTATCAATTAGATAAGTTATCTACTCAAAATAATATCGTTTTGGAACAAAATTTATGGTATTTTTTTAATTATAATTTATTTCAGAGTTATAATAGTCTTTCTCATTATAATTTTGTAATCTTTTAACTTAAAACAACGTCATTTTGAGAGTAAATGTAAATAACATATATATATTTACTATAGAAACATTAAAACCTAAAATTAAATGACTTTTGAAACCTCAAATACTTTACGAATGGCATTGGGGCAGGTGGGCATTTCTTGAGTACTCATTTGATATTCAGGACTTAATTCATTAAACTATTAAAATTTAGAAAAAATAACTGATTTAATTACATTTATTTTTTTAAAAAAAATCAAAGAAAAGCTCAAAAACAACTAACTAGTAACTATGCATTCGGGGTAATCTTAATTACATTTAGAGAAAAATATTTGTCCTTTTAAAGGATATAATCTTGTTTTATTTTAAACCTTAACTATTAATTTTCATCAATCAACGATTGTAATTTATTGGGTCAAAATTATTAATTAGGATAAGGGAACGCAAATGTGGAGAAAATAATGGTGTAAAAATCATCGTGGTTTTTTAAAAAGAATTAATTACCAATGAAAAAATAAAAAAAATATAGTTGAAAAATTCATGTTTAATTTGAAAAATCTTAGCGTCAACGTTCCATGGACCTATATCAAATAATGGTGAAAATACCATTATGGAATTTTGAAAAATTTATTACCAATAAAAAATAAAAAAAGTGCCAAATACATATAATATAAAATATGACAAAATACGCTCACAAAAAAATGACAAAATACCAAATGCATTCACCATAAAAACTATTAATGTGCACATATGTAATATATATTTCATGCAAATAAATATTAAAATATTGACCTGATCAAAATGTTGAAGTTGTTCAACAATATCGTCTCCTGATAATTGTTAGGGGGCTGGTCGTTTTTCTTTATTACCATCAAAGGCCTTTGTATTATTTCGCCAATAATGATCAAGCGGCAAATATCAACGACTTCCCATATAAGCATGTTTTCATCCATTTGGTAGCCTCAAGGACCATGTATCCATGTTACAATAAGGGCAAGGTAATTTCCCTTTAGTACTTCATCATGAAAGATTTGCATAAGCAGGAAAATCATTAATATTCCATAAAATAGATGCATATAGCTGGAAGGTTTCTTTGATTGATACATCATATGTCTCTACACCTTTTTTCCATAGTTCTTTCAATTCATCAATTAAAGACTGCAAATACACATCAATATCATTTCCAAGAGCTCTAGGACCTGGAATAAGTAGTGACATTATGAAATAAGGATCTTTCATGCACATCCAAGGTGGCAAATTATAAGGAATTAAAACTACTGGCACACACACTGTACGAAGTACTCATATTTTCATATGGATTGAAATCTAGCTAGTCCAAGTCTAACATTACGTGGATCTACCGTAAAAGAAGGATATTAAGAATCAAAACTTTTCCAAGCAATGGAATAAACCAGATGTCTAATTTATCCATCTTCAAATGGTCTATCCTTATGCCATCTCATTTCTGTAGCACTATTTGAGGACATATATAACCTTTGTAACCTTGGTGCTAAAGGAAAATAGTGCAGAACCTTTTGGGGCAATTTCTTATTTGGATTTTTATATCGAGAAACACCATAACTTGGACAAAACTTAGATTTTAAATACTCACCTTGATAGAGAATGCAATCATTCACGCAAATATCTATTTTTTTCATAATCTAGCCCAAGCTCACGGATAACTTTTTGAGCTTCAATAGGACATTGGAGCTTTATTTCCTTTAGGAAATGCTTTGATTAGCAGAGAAAGTAAAGCATCAATTGATTTTGCACTCAAGCCAAAGAGACATTTGATATTTAATAGTTGAACAATAAATGATAACTTAGAAAAATGCTCATAACCAGGATATAGTTCTTGTTCGGCATCATCCAACAGTCTATAAAACTTATCAGCTCCCTCATTCATTCTGTTATTTGTGCTAGTCACATAACTTCTATCCTCGTTTGGTTGTCCATCGACATTTGAGGTATTTTGAATATTGAAAGTACTTCCAATATCATGTAACATCTCTCGAAGTCCATCATTGCAATTTTGCTCATCATCATTTTCTTCATCGTCTTCTTCAGATTCACTCACTATTTCTCCATAAAGATCCCATATGACATAGTCCCTTTTATCCCAAACATGATCAAGTGCTCGTAAATGATTTTACGAGACCGGTAAAGATTATTATTGCATTTTTTGCATGGACAACGAAGTAGTTTTCCTTCATCAAAACCATTAAATGCAAATTCAAGAAACTCAAGAACTCCTCGTTCATATAAAGGTTGCGTTCTATCAATAATTTGTATCCAACTTTTATCTAATCTCATATCTGTCATGAAAAAATAATGTATAAAATTAATATAAAGAATTCACAGATAATTAAAACTAAACATGTTAAATATCAAAAACGAGTTCTCATTAGAATGTATGAAATCGTAAAACAAATTAAACTATTAGAAACATGAAAACTGTTGTAAATAATTATTATTTAGTTATTATTTAGTCATTTATTTGTTGTATTGGGCCAAGCCCATTAGGTTAAAATTAGGTCAAATATTCTCTATAAATAGAGAACCCTTTGTACAGATTATTTACAATTCTATAATATATTAGAATACCATTTTTCAAGTTGGTATCAGAGCTCTCGATCTGAGGGCTTTGCTTCCGCACATATTATCTTCTTTTTTAACAAAACCCTAATTTCTTTGCCTCTTGCCGCCATCAGCCGCCACCGGAAAATTTTTCCGGGGATCTTTTGGACCAAGGGGACCATTGTTGACCTTATTTTTCCTCCGATCTATCATTCTATGCACTGTTCCTCCGCCACAAACGACCGAAACACCTCCGACCGCCTCCAATCAGATCTGTCTTCACCGTTTGGACCACTTTCCGGCGACTTTTCAACCGCGACCACCCACAGACAGGTGCGCGCTCACCGGACGACCACACCAGAAAAATCTCAGTCGGCGAAGCCCATCCACGCGCTCTCACGCGCCGCCCCTTTCCCGGCGAGTGAATCCCACGCGCAGCTCTTTTCTCCGGCACGTGCGGCCGTGTTTTTGGACCGGACCACCACCATTCTTCTCGTCTTCTTGTCTTCTGTCTGGATCTGTAATTATTTTTCTGATCAGAGGTCATTTGATATTCTGTTTGGTTGATTTTATCGCTGGTTGTTAACTTTTTTTGTTAAAGAATGGCCGAGCATGATAGTTCTTCGATCTTATCTGGTAAGAGCACACGTTCTATATCTCTTCTTGCTTCTTGCACTGATTTTAAAACCTCATGAATTTTGGATTCTGGTGCAACTGATCATATGGCTTGTCGTACTGAGTTGTTTTGTTCTTATCATCCTACTGTTGGTAGTCATACTATATCTGTAGCTGATGGATCCCATAAATCAGTTATTGGTTCTAGTAACATTCAAATTCAACCTTCCTTGTTTCTTAAAAATGTTC